TCTCGCAGCGCATTAAAACCCTCCGAGTCTTTCATTTAAACGTGAAGAGCCATGAATGTGTCAGAATCGCTCGCCTTATAAAAGCTCTTTTACTCCAACCTTTTTTAATCGTTCCAACACACGATATACAGCAGCCTTAAGACGTTTTCTGACACTTTCGGGCACTTTTAAAACAATCACAAATTGTTCGCAGAAATTGCGTCATGTTTTTAAGGTGTTTTTTACCATGTTTGTAGTGTTTTCTGAACTCTACATACTTTAGGGATGGAGTTGTCTGGGTTTCGTCTTGTTTTAAATATGAGGTAGACGTGTTCTTAACCGTTTTCACTCTCTAAACGAGATGTCAGCACACAGTTTGCAATGTGTTTATTATTAGTCTGATATGAATGTCGACATGTGGAATCGGTGGAAGTCAAATCTGAGCACACCTCGTCTGAGCAAGTGGAAACTGCTTCAGATCTAATTGGATCTAGTTTTCATTCGGGACTCTTCATTTTGAAAGATGCAGATCTGTATTAATTAAGTGTTGAAATTAATCAATTTAATGCCGTTTACAGGTGTCTGAAAGCAGCTAGTCAGTCAATTATTCGATTATTTTCTGTTTTATCTTGTAAGACACCTAGAGGTTAAAAAGGTTCCTGGTATGATTTTGATAGTGTAAAGTATTTTGGCCAGCTTGAGCTGTATGGTGATGTGCTACAGAAATAAATATGATTGATTGATTATAAACACTGTGAGCGTTTGAGTCATCCGTTGGGCGAGAGAAGGGAGTATTTATCAGCTTCAAGTCTTTGTCCGTCCCGAGTCTCTCCAAACACACAGTTAATAAAGCAGTAACAGGGCAACAGATCCGCTCTCGCTCAAACATCTCATTCCCGGTGTTCACTGCAGCTTTATTGACCGTCTCTCTTTCTGTCCGTCTGAGAGTTTAGTTCAGAGTAAATAAACTGTCCCGGCTGTAAATTCACCCTCCATTCATCCTCTCTATTCTACAGAAAACGTACTAAATTTTTTTTATAGACACACACACTCACACACACACACACACACACACATACTTGTATTTGTGGTTTACGGGGACTCTCCACAGGCGTAATGGTTTTTATACTGTACAAACTGTATTTTCTATCGCCCTACACCAACCCTACCCCTAAACCTACCCCTCACAGGAAACTGCTGGCAATTTTTGAATTTCATAAAACACCGTTTTGTATGATTTTTAAGCCTTTTGTTTTACGGGGACACAGGAAGTGTCCTCATAAACCATGTTTACGTTGTAGTACCCATGTCATTATACACATTTGTGTCCTCATAAACCATATATACCTGTACACACACACACACACACACACACACACGTATCAGGTCACATTAGGTAAGTTTCACTTGTTTCCAATACTGTCCTCGTCTGACTTCAGATTAGATTATGAACTAAGTGTGGACAATGTGTGTGTGTGTGTGTGTGTGTGTGTGTGTGAGTTTTAATGAGAGAAACACAAATCAGTATTCAGCATTCATAAAGCTATCTATGATGATAAACTCCTCACTGGACGCCGTGACAGATAAATGATTCACACTGAATCTCTCCACGTGTAAATAAACATGAACTGAAACAAAAAAGGTTCATTTCACTGAATCAGTTCAAATGGATCTGAGTGCACACTTCATAGTGAAGCTCACTTTGAGTTTCACACAGTGTTGAGGTGATAGTGGCTCTAATCATGCAATAGCTGACACTTAAAGATCAGCGCTGGAGTGTCTCTTCAGAGCCAGCAGCATTAGCTGGATACAAGCGTCTGACTGCAGTAAACGAGCTCCATCTGTCCCGGTTCTCACTCTGTGCTGCATTTTAATTTGGCTGTAAGCTCACAAACTCTGTCTCTCACAAACATATGGAGCCGCATAAGCCGCTTATGAGCCACATTACTACTGACCTGCTGCG